GTTTATGTCAATTAGGATACCTGTCTGAGTCTCAGAGTTCTAAACTCATGAATTCTTGCTGGTTAAAGGATTTCTCACATCCTATGCCAAGTTGAAATATATTCAGACAACCTTCGTTGTATGAAGGTTCTGTTAGAATCCATGCACCAAAACTGATGACAGACGTAGCTCAGTTGTTTTCAAACTAGATTACAAAGGGCAACCTGCATGCTTGGCACAGTCACCTCAGCTTCACAAGCAAATGGTAATCCGTGGAGACTTCGGCCGTACTTTTGAGAATTGGCCCTATTTTTAGAGCAGAAAGTCCTTTGCCAAATCCAGCAAGCCCCGTAAGAAATATCAAACTCACCAGTAAGAATGAGCCCTTTAGTTCAGCAATCCAAATAGTTCTATGGCTCTGAACATGTTTGCTTCAAGGAGAGCTGAAGTATTCCTCAAAGCAAAGGGGCAAGGGGATATACAACAAAGCAGTATATAGCAATACATGCACAACAACACGAAAACTCAAGGGAAAGTAGTATGTATTTACATCAATAACTCGGAGAAATAGTGTCTGTGTATAGAAGTTCAAAAAAAAAAGAGAGAACCCTAAGTCTGAGAAAAAGAGTCTAGTTGTTCAGTGGCTGAAGTCCTAGCAGTGGAGACAGGAGAAGAGCTTGGAAGCTTAGCTGAAGTATTCCAAAGGTCTCGAAGTAGGCAAGAGAGGAAAAGCCTCAGGGAGCCCAAGAGCAGGAACCTCAGCTTCAGCTGTTGGTGGATTTAGAGCTCTGTTCACAAGTTCAGTAGAGAAAGAAGTATCTCCAGGAACAACAGAAGGAACGATAGGGAGCTCAGTAGACAAAATAATAGAAGAAGGAGGAATATCTTGAGCCAAGACCTCAGCAGACAGGACAGGCGTCATAGCCCTGACAGGAGTTAGCTTAGGAGCAGGAGGGGCCAAGGCACCACCCTCACCCTCTGCATTGGACGTCTCTGCTTCCACCTGAGCTGGGATCTCAAAGTCAAAGTTCAGATCGAGATATACTTCTTCAGCTTGGTCTTGGAAGGTAAGTCATCCGGTGGCCCATTTGGTAGTAACATCGTCCATCAACTTGGCAATTAGATCATCTTTCTCTTTGACAATGGCTCTCTGCCCCTCAAGCTCACTCCGGAGAACATCACTTATCTCAACCAACAAGTCATACTCTTTTTTCATACTTCTATAAGAGCCTAGAGCCTCAAATGTTTCTTGGCTAGCCTTGGCCAAACATCAGTCTTAAGCCTAAGGTCTTCCTTGATCCTCTCTTCGTTCGCCTCCAAATCTTTGATAGTAGAAGCTTGTCTTTCCACCCGCGCCTGTAGATCTTGAATTTGGGTTTGGAGGTCATTATTAGCAAAAGCCAGATCGATGGCTTTTGAGCTTGAATGCCTTCAATGCTTTGGTAGAGCTCTCTAGATCTCGAATTCGACTCAACAAACCCTTCACATTAATGGCCAGCTGAAAACAAATGCAATCAGAGGCTAAAGTCAGCATAAAATAACGGCCTAAGGTGAAAGTGAGACCTAAAGAGGAAGGGATCTTACAGCAGCAGCCCCATAAAGTGCTGAACTAATGGAATTTTTAAGAGGCATAATAGCAGCCCTCCAAACATCGGTAGTAGGAATGATGGAGTCAAGGGCATCGGCAGCGAGCTCAACATTATCGAAGAAAGAGTCATTATCTTTCTCTTCTTTGACATACTTCCCTTTCTCAGCCTTGGAGCTCATTTGAGACAGCTGCAAAAATTTCTCTGATGGTCCAAAAGAGGGAAGAATATGTTGAACGCAATAGATCATCTCCAAAGCCCTCTCGACCTCAACAAAAGAAGGAGAGGTTGGATCTTGCTCAGAAACCTTCCTAGTGGCAAGCGGGGTCTCTTGGAGAGAAGAGGTCTCCATAGCCTGCAGAGAGATTGATAGAGGAATAAGAGCCACTTTAGTTGAAGCTGGAGAAGCAGGGGCAATCTCAACCTTGGCACCTTGGCTTGAGAAACGAGGTTGCTACCAGAACCAACCTCAGCTTTACGCTTGCTCTCGCTCTTATTTTTCTTCAGCAGAGCAACCTTGGCCTGTAGTGCTTCTTGAGCAGGCTTCATTGAAGAAGAATCTGAAAACACAGAATGAGCCAATACAAAAAAAAAAAGAACAAGGAGGAAGAGCTAAAAGCCAGAAATAGGCAGGGAAATCGTTACCTGACACCCCCTCGGCGCTGGCAACAGAGATGGAAATAGGGGTCTCGATCCTCACCTCAGGAAGACTAAATCCGAGCTCTACAAGAACTTGAGGCTTGATAAGCTCTGATATTTCTTCGAATCACAATCCGCCAAGTTCATTAAAACTCGCTTATCAACAACGCTAAGTTTAGGTCGGACACCTAAAGAGCAAGACAAAGCAAACAAAGTAAAGTTAGCAAAGTAGGCCATCAAAACTGATCCTAGTTTGCTTAGGCGAAAACTTACCCAGGTTGTCAGGGACAGACCAATCCCCAGGAACTGGAAAAGTATATGTTACATCTGTAGAATTGTAGTCCCATGGTTTGCCCCCCATAAAGAAGAAAAGTTTTTTTCAACCCTTGTGGGAGGTCGGAGATGATAACCTTAGTTTTCATTCGTTTGAAAGTGTACAAAAAGTCGTCAAAAAAGGATATACTTAATAGTAAAAAACTTCATAAGCAAAGGGACGAAGGGAACCCCTAGCTCATGTTTTTTAAAGAAAACGAGAAGACCCACCAGTATGCCCCAAAAGTTAGGAGAAAGTTGAGTAGGGCAAACGTTAAAATGTTACAGAACACTCTTGATAAAGGGATGAATTGGAAAGCGGAGGCCATTCTCAAAGACGGCCAGGAAAAAGCAAGTTTTCTTAGGGACTAGAGAGTCATATCAGGTATACATATCTGAACATCAGTACTCCACGCCCAGAGGGAAACCAAAGCATACAGCCAGAACCTTCATATAAGAAGGAGTGACGTCGTTGAAGTCCACGAGCTCTCCAGCTCTAGAGATAGCCCCAACACCCTCGCCACTACCAGAGATCCCTATGCCACTCACCTTAACTTTACCTTTATTAGGGTTTTTGGGCACGGGGAAGGACAATGGATGAGGCTCCTTGACATTTTCCTCAACATCGACAGAAGCAACTTTTGGGAAATTATCAATCTTCTTGCCCACATCTCCCAGATCAATATCTTCCTCGGTAGACTTGTCCCTTATTAGGAAAATAGTGTAACCTATGGCTTTGGAAGAAGTAGACATGGTTGGGCAAGAGAAATGAAGTTTAAAGGACCTATAAAGAGGGGGAACCTCAGAAAAACACCCTCTAAAGGTTAAGGGGGTGAAACACCAGTGACCGATGACAAAGATCCTAGTAGTAGAATAGGGGTCCAAAAATAGGGGAAGACGAGACAAGGAGTAACCTCGATTCCTAAAATAGTAGAATCGAAAAGTCTAGAAATGTAGTAACCACCTTAGATTCGAGGGATCTAGAACGAAGAAACACGTAAGGGACAGGAAGCGTACCTAATCAAGGGCGAATGGCAAATTAGAACCAAAAGTGAAAACAGAGAGCAAGCCTTGCAAGCCAATTCAAGCAAGGACGATATTCAGCTGAACCCTAAGATTGCCGGTAGATTGGGGAACGGGGAATGCAAGGAAGAAGAAAAGCCTAGGGGGAGAATTCAAAGAGTGAAATAAGAGTCGTTTCCCATCAATTCAGAGGCATTTAAAGCTAACGGTACGTGGAACTTTAAAGTGGAGAACGTGCGCAAGAAACGAGAGAGAAAATAATTACCTGAAACCGTCAAAAACCTGTTCGTGCACGTATCGAGGCCACCAGATGGAGGTCTACCTCAACTCAGCCTTAGTCCAGCCCTTGTCCAAGTCTGCTTGGACCACGGACTAGGAAGCAACTGATGATACATGGAAAGGATTTTAACTAAGTATGAGCTCAAGAAGTGAGTTCAGACAAGGAGGTCAGATAAGGCACCCCAGGCTCAGAGGTCCAGACCTCGAGCTCCCTTCGGAGGAAACAGTAAAGGAAATAAGAAGGAAACAACTGGGTAACAGAAGGCTATAACTAAGGCAAGAAACTTTTAACCACCCAAGATCTTCTCCCAAAATCAAGGGAGATCCTGCAGATAAAGGGCAAGGATCTCGCTGCAAATCCCTTAGAGATAGGGGTTGGACTATAAATATTGTACAGTGCCTCCAACAAGGGAGGGAAAACCCCGATTATATCAGAATCACTCTATAATTTATAACAACCATCAATATAGATCCGAGTAGCAAGAGACTCAATTTAAGAGTGAACTAGCCGAGCTCCCGAGTTCAGTGAACCACTATACTTTCACTATACAAGTCATCCCAACTCCCAAAGAACCTTATCATAATCCTCACGAACTTTGTAACACTTAGATTCAGGCTTATTTGCGTAATTTATACATTCTGCACAATCCACTTAATTAACACCATCAGTTGGAAACAAGAAAACAAAAAGTGTCCAATTCTATGTCGAGGTGATGGATGTGGTTCAAACACTTGGGGGTGGAAAGAGATCAGCCTATGATCCAGATGAGATTGAGGAGGAACAAAGGGAGAGGGATCAAAAGAACAAAATCAACATGGACTTCCAGAATTTCGTGAACCGGGTAAATGATCTCTGGGGCCAGCCTCAATATAAAGGACTTGATCTGGAGTTTGATCAGCCTTGTAGGGAACTCGGCTTTCTTGGGGTGCCGTACAAAGCTTCCGTTTTCATCGTCCCAACTTCAAGCTGCCTGGTTGAGCTGATAGAGAGACCTTTCCTCGTTATCACTCTAAGTAAGATTGATATTGTCTATGTAGAGGGGGTTGGTCTTGGACAGAAAAATTTTGACATGGCAAATGTTTTCAAAGACTTCAAGGGTGATATGCTTCGTATTGATTCTATTCCTTCCACATCACTTGGTGGCATCAAGGAATGACTTGATACGACATATCTCAAGTACTATGAAAGTAGACTAAATCTGAACTGGCATCAGATATTGAAGACCATCACTGATGACCCACAAGGGTTCATAGAGGATGGGGGATGGGAATTCTTGAACATGGAAGCTAGTGATTATGATTCCGAGAACTCAGAGGACTCAGATCAAGGTTATACACCATCAGAGGCTGAGCCTGAGTCGGACTCGGAGGATGATGACTTAGACAGTGAGTCGCTTGTAGAATCTAAGGACGATGAGCAGGAGGAGGATTCAGAGGCAGACTCAGAGGACAAGAAGGGTAAGACAGGGGAGGAGTTGGAGAGAGAAGCTAGCCATGCAGACAGGGAGAAAGGGAATGAGTCTGACAGCGAGGAGGAGCGGAGGAGGAGGAAGATGAAGGCGTTTGGAAAGTCCTGGGCTGGTCCTAGTAGTAGTGCTCCTAAGTGGCCAAAGTTTTTAAGATAGATGTGATGCAACTCTCGTTTTTTGTAACTTCGTCAGATTTATGTGTGTGCTGCAAAGATGTAGTTTTATAACTTAGTTTCAGCACACATGTTTTTCATTTTGGCTTTAAATTTGGTCTTAAAATTTGATCAATATAGTATTACTTTTTCTTTTAATATGTTCTGTGTTTTGGGGACCTAAGAGGATGCATGGATCACAGATTTTGCCCGTAAATTGGTGGCCTTGGCTTTATTGGAAGAAATTTCTTTTGTGTGCTTATTTTGTTTGTCTCGTAGATAATTTTTTTTTCTTTTACATTTGAATAATTAATACAAATGATAGAATTGTCATGTTCTCCTCTTCTCTCTCTCCCCCTTTTCTCTCCCTTGTGCTCTCTCTCTCCTTATTTGATTTTATTTTTCAATAAATCTGTTTTGTCAAAATAAGGCTCTGCCGACATACCTCGGGAAAACAAAAATGTCTTCTCCAACAAGACTACTAATTTAAATAATTAACTGACTCTAATAAAATAATATTCTATTTTGACTAAGATTAATTAACAACTAATAATAAAATAACTAATTATTAATAGTTTAAGTTAATTTTCAATAGTCTTCGTAACATATGAATTCCTGTTTAGAGGACATGAAATTACAACATATTCAAAAAATTACATGTGAGAAAAAATTGTTTGAAATTGTTCAAAGGTTAATGGGAAAATTTCAGTCACATCCCTTTTAATTTATCCTATTTTCAAGAACACCACATCTATTTTTTGAATCTTCACTGACACCCCTATTAGATTGAAAATATTAGTTAGAATATAATTTTACTAAATTACCCATGATATATTTGAGAAAAATTTCATCCACACCCCCTCTAGATAGACATATTTTCAATGAGACTTCCTTTGTTTTCTAATTTTTTTTACATATTAAAATTCGGGTCAATTAAAATTCGATTCGAGCTAATTAAAATTTATTTTTTATGTATTAAAATTCAAATTGATTAAAAATTATATTGTTTTACGTATTAAAATTTGAGCCTATTAAAAATCATTTTTAATCGGCTCAAATCAAATTTTAATCAACTCGCAATAAGTTTTAATCTGCACAATTTTTGATACATGAAAAATATAAATTTTAATTGGCTTAAATTTTAATGAATCTAATTTTAATTAACATGAATTTTAATAAGTAAAAAAATATAAATTTTAATCACCTCAAATCGAATTTTAATCAGCACTAACAATTCAAGTATAGCTCAAATCGGCTCGAATTTTAAAACATAAAAAAGAAATTTTAATAGGCTCAAATTTTAATATGTAAAACAAAAAAATTTAATCAGCTCAATTAAAATTTTAATTAACTCAAATTTTAATATATAGAAAAATAAATTTTAATCAACTCAAATCGAATTTTAATTGGATCAAATTTTAATATGTACAAAAATAATTTTAATGAACTCAAATTTTAATATGTAAAGAAATGAATTTTAATCAGCTTGAATTTTATATAGAAAGATTGTTAGGGGTTTTGTAGGGGGCATTTTTGATATTTTAGATGACTTTTTTTTTTTTCAATGGTTGTTTAATAGCATGAGTGTTAGTGATGTTTGAATATAAACTAGCAGGGTGTCAATGATGTTTTTGATTATAAAGGGGGGTCCTTGAAGATATAATAAAGTAAAAGGAATGTGACTGAAATTTATAAAGCAAACATGTTGTTGGATTGTATAGATTAAATGTAAAAGAGTTGATGGTACCATATTTCATCACCCTTCTCTATAGGTCTTACAGAAGTACTTATGTGTTATCTAAACACCGAAAATGATAAGATATATCCATTAAATCCTAACTAGTCCAATGATAAGTGAGTTTGAGTTAAATAGGATATCATATTTTTTTGGAGATTGTTGTAGACTGGTACACAATTTAGGACTTCATTGGGTAAAAGTTCTTCGGGTAAAATTGTTTGTGTAGAGGTCCTTTTTATTTGTGAATATCAAATATACCCACATTAAAAACTAATTGGCTCAAACTAAGAATTTGAAAACCACTGGAAATCAAGCAGCATACCCATGAAAACAGCTGACAATGATATCCAACAAAATAGGTTGCTTGAAATTCAAATAAAAAATACCATAAAATCCATTAACATCTGGAAGCATAACACATCGCTTTTGGGGACTAGGGTTGTTATCATTGGGTTTTTACATGACAGTAATACATTACAGTGTAACAACTTTAATAACCGACAAAAGATATGCAAGTACATTTTCCGATTCATGCAAAAGCTAAACAATATGTTTTACACAATGTAATATCTACAGTTTGACAAATACATATATTATTTTTACGGAATGACAGTGTTACATAACAATGTAACAACACAATAAAACAACTGTAATTGGGTATAAAAAGTTTGACAATTAAGTGTGATATCCATTCACCGCTACCTTAAGAACAATCATAGTGTATTCCAAAAAATTAAATTAAACTAAATTAGACACCGATTATAAATTCATTAACAAGTTGTTGAAGTAGAAAAAAACAAAACCTCTAGGCGAAAACAACAAACGTTGAAGAAGGAGTAAATAGCCTGTGAGTGGAAACCGCAGACATTGTAGTAGAAGACAAGCACCAGACATTGAAGTAAAAAATAACACATTGAAGTATAACACAAGCCTTTTAAGTATAAGAAGATGATATACGTTTAAAATTCNACCATGCACGTTATTTTGCTGGGACTCGGAGTTTGCATTTTCCGTTTTTGGCGAGGTTTCCAGAAAAAAAAAGGGGGTTTTGGGCACGGGCAAAAGCCAATACATATCTGCTGCTTTCTTCAGAAGACTCTTCTTTCAATTTTGAGAATTTGGTAAACCAGGTGNTGCTGGGACTCGGAGTTTGCATTTTCCGTTTTTGGCGAGGTTTCCAGAAAAAAAAAAGGGGGTTTTGGGCAAGGGCAAAAGCCAATACATATCTGCTGCTTTCTTCAGAAGACTCTTCTTTCAATTTTGAGAATTTGGTAAACCAGGAGNTAATAAACTTTCATTGTGTATCTAGACACAATACATTTCCAACTAATAGTATTTTTCTACTTTACCTTTTCAGTAAGGTATTTTCTCACAAATAAGTAATTCATAAGGTATTTTTTCACAATTTTTTATATTTTTTTAGATCTCCAATTTAGCTCAACACTACNCTTTCAATTTTGAGAATTTGGTAAACCAGGAGTAACAGCAACTGTACACTTAGTTTACCGATCCAACCACTTTGTCGCCGGGGTCTGCTGTCAAGTCCCCCGCTTTAAGTTTGATCTACTAGGTTGTTGGCTTTGTTCAAAAAATAAAACAAAAGATATAAAAACATCTTTAATTATGATTAAAAGGAACAATGATCCGATTTTAATTCAGTGTACTTGTCCAACACCTTCAAATTTTAACTTTCTTATTTTGGGAAAAAGTGTAGTTCTCGGCTAATGATACTTCAAACAAACCCTAGCTGTGACCTCAGGTCAGGAGATTAGAAAAGACATGAAAAACTCAGAGAACTAGGGGTGGACTCCCCTTAGGGAGATCGTAGCTGAACCGACCAGGAAACAACTGGATGATTGCGAAAATTGGGCTCCATGCATGAAACTCTCAACCAACTAAGATTCTCTCCTAAAATCAAGGAGGATCTCATGAATAATGGGCAAAGATCTCGGCTGAAATCCCACAGAATAGGGGGCAGCTTTATAAATACTATGTAACGCCTCATCGAGAGAGAGATAACAAAACAAGAACCCTAATTGGATTATGCACTATCTTGTATTACATTAAAATAATCAATAGAGAAGAAAAGGAGCAAGAGCCTCCATTTGAGAGTGGATTAGTCGAGTTCTAGAGTCAGTAAACTACTATATTCCTACTGTGCAAATTCTCCTATCCCCTAAGAAACACTGCATCACTGTCATTACGAAGTTGGCAGCCTAACTTTACCGTTGGTCTCACGCACTCTGTTCACTCACATTAGTCTGCACCATCAGTTTGGTGCCGTCTGTGGGAATAACTGTTCCTGTTACAAATAAGCTGATCTTTCAGTGACTGATGGTATTAACACGAAACATGAGCAAAAGCCAAACAAACCCATCTCAGATGCAGGACCAACAGGGAGCCACCAATGGCAGACAGCCTGATAACGTCCCAGAAACTGATCCTCCCATGGGGAATCCCCCCACAAATAACGAGACGGAGGCCCTTCGCCTCGTCAATCAGCACTTTATAAAGCAAAACGAGGAGCTCTTGAAGCTCTTACAGCGCCCACAGGAGGCACGTCCGGCCCAAGAAGGTCAGAACAGTCCCCATTACAGGGATCAATAACACCTTGATCCACTCAAAGAAGACAACGAAGGAGGGGAGAACAGTCAGACCTTCAGTAGGTTCCCCAACTACCCCCTAGGAACGACCACAATGAGGAAGTACAAAGTCAAAACTATAAAGGTGAAAAGAATGATGTATTCCCTTATCAGCAGGAGAGAAGGGAACAATATTGGGAGCAACGCTTCAAGGGCATCCAACAGGAGCTCAGCCACATGAAGGAAGCGGTCAGAAGTAAAGCTCCAGTTACAATGGACGCCTTGGTGCAGCAAACTGAATCTCCATTCACGCTTGGGGTGTTGCATTTTCTCCTCCCACCAAAGTTCAGGATGCCACAGATAGAGTCCTTTGATGGAACTAGGGACCCCATGGATCACCTCAATACTTATAAGAATCAGATGGAATTGCACGAGTACCAGGACCCCGTACGCTGTCGAGCCTTTGTCATCACTTTGAAGGGTACAGCCTTGGCGTGGTTTAACAGGCTCCCCCCGGCCTCAATCTCTTCCTTCAAAGAGCTTTCCATTTCCTTCGTATCCCACTTCATAGGGGCTCCAACTTATAGAAAGCCGAGCTATCACATTTTGAATGTAAAATAGGGACCACAAGAAAACCTCAGGTCATATTTCCAAAGATTTAATTCGAAGTCGTTAAAGGTGGAT